ATAAGGCGGGTGTGTACAAGATTCCCTACGAGAACCAGCTTTTAGGAATTAAGAAAGAATATGTAGGGGTTACAACTAGGAACCTAGGTTTAAGGATCAAAGAACACAAATATGATATCAGAAAAGGTTCTAATGCGACAGTTTTGGCCCAGATGGCGCAGGCAGAAGGTTCATTGATACATTGGGATAAAGCCGAAATCCTGAAACAGATACACTCGCCGGCATTGGCAAGAACAGCTGAAAAGATAGAAATCTATAGAAGCAAACTTGAAGAAAAATGTATTAACGCAAGAGATGCGGAGGGTCTTCCTTCCGCTTGGAAGTTTGCGGTTAAAAGCTTAAAAAAAGCGCAGGAAATTTAGTATGAAATAATAAGCTCTATATAGTTAGGCAGACGATATTATTATTTAGTAATGATATTATGTTATTTATTTTGAATATTTGTATTATTTACAAGTATTATTTATTTTTATGTTATCGGTTTATTTGTATTTTTGAATATTTAAACGAGTAGTTCTATTTATGAAGTGTTCTATTTAACCTGAAGATGATCCAATGAATGGATCGAAAACGTTTGTTTTAATTAAAAATAATCTCTCAGCGAAAAATAAGGTGTTGGATTACATATTTGAAATGAACATTTTTATCCGTGTGGCTTAAAATTGTAGGAGGAAACTATAATCTGACGATGGAGTTAGACAATGTATTCATTATAAAATAGCCAAACATATTTATTAAAAGCTAAATTAATATTTACACAAAATTAAAATACAGTGTAAGCAAAATAATAAATGGATAACTATACAATCTCTATGGAGAGGCTATACTATCTTATCCTCTAACAATTTTACAAATTGGATATAACTTAATTAATGAGAGAGTTTATATATGAATAGCAGTTTGTTATCTGATATAACACTTCAATCACCAAGGATATTGTAACATCTTTGGAGACAAAAGTGGAGAATTCCGTAGCTTAACAATTCAGCACTCTGTGAGGGCACCAAAATAAGCAGAACTAATACTCAGCTAAGGATAGCATAACTTAAGCATGGTGTCTATAGGTTGTTGATACACGACCCTTATCTTTTTATACATATTATAGTGAACCAATGAAATTTTCTGAAACTTTTGCAATGTTTCTGTCACTAAGGGAAATAAGGCATTTCTGAACGACTATCTAAATAAACATCATCACTAAACCTGATTTATTATAAAGCTATACATCAACCAATGCCAAATATTAACGGGCTAGAAACCTGATTATTGGGCTTAGTTTCTAGCCTGATAATATTCAGCATTGGTTGATGTGTAGTTGAACAAATATCTAAGTGATGCATCTGACTTTACTATCATTTTTGAAGGAACAATGTCACTCTTCTCTAAGTCAGTAGTAGTGTAAAGATGAGAAGGATTGATAAATTTTCTATCCTTTTGAATTTAAAACAATAATTCAAAATATTGATCAAATAAATTTGTTTAAAAATTCTAAAATGTCCCTTTTCTCGAACTCCAGATTCTTGCACATATGTGTGCAAAGTTTCAACTAGATCAGAAATTGGGAAGTAGATGAATTGCAACTTTTTACCTGGAGAGACAGACAGACAGAGTAAGTTAATAAAAAGCTTTAATAATAACCATATTATTCATAGAAAGACTTTGTTCCAGATATTTTCAAGGATACTACTGTATAATAGTTGCTTTATTTTACTTAATATATATATATATATATATGGTA